GTTTACTATGGTGGGAATAATATCTGTCTATTAAATATAATAAAACACGAACATCCTGTTACGACTTTCCGTGCCCTATTCTTCATACTGAATTTTAATTTTCGGACCCATTTGAATATTATAATATATTTAAGTCATGTTGCTATAATAACACACTACATATTGACTATATATTAAAACATCACATACTTATTGTAAGGGCGGCAGTGTGGTCTAGTGGTTAGAGCGCCAGACTCGTAATCTGGGGAACCAGATTCGAGTCCACTAGAGCCGTGGAATTTTTTTCCGAAAGCTGCGCCCCTCCGTGCAAGATTGAGGCCCTTGTGCGGAGAAAACTGGGCTCCGTCTTTCGGAAAGAGACGTTAAACCGTTGGTCCAAAGGGTTAAAGTGAGAGGATAAGGATAGTATTGGTAGTAGATTGCGAACCCTACGGGGATATGCAATAAATTGTCCGCATACTTATTGTATAAATGTATAATATGTAGCACTCGTACATTTATTTTACATAACAGGAAGCAATAGATATAAGTAACTGTAATATAAATATTACAATATATCTGTTATAAAAAAGATTACTCCAAAGTTATATAGGCAGTAACAAAATTATGTCGACTGGGAAGATATCACCCTGAGTATGTGTACATACTCAGCGCTCGCCTTCATTTATGTTGCCTTCCATAGTTAAAAATCTTTCGAAGTATTTGATATATAACAAAATATTTTTGATGGACATATAAAGCTGACATAGACAATTAAATCGCTTCTGTCTTTTTTTTTTTTTAATTGAGACAGATTGACTTATCTGCTTCTCCGCCTCGCGAAAAACAGGAAGTCCTAAAATATTAAAAGATATAAGTCAACATATTGTATACCAAAAATTAAACTGTATTCATACTAATATTTATTAGAAATATTTCTTCGCAATTTGACTTTACTTTCTTAATTAAAATCAGTCAAAATCAATTAACAGTACACTGATATTAATATTGGAAATAAAATATTCCTTTTTCGCTGTAATATTTTTTTCTATTTTTTTCTTTTTCGTATCTCTTTCCTAAAATAAGCGATTGTTTATAGTGTTTTCGCGATACTCACTATTAGAATAGTTGCTCCCAGTAGTACGGCCTTTATTTTTACATCGAGATCGCGCGGAAAGTTAATGCCATATTTATCCGAAACGTGGAACTGGTTGAACATTTCTTGAGAAAAGCCTCTCCAATGCTTTTGAATCATGCCGATGTCATACTTTTCATCCAGAGATTTGACCTGCGGATTTGATCATTGACGAGCAATTATGAAAATCTTAACGCTGTTTAGCAACCTACGCCAAGTTTGTGACATTATATTATTCATTAATTATCACTTATTCTCAGTTCTGTATTTTACTTTCAAAAATCTTCCAAAAACTCGAAATTAATGTTAAGAAAAACAATTCAAAAAATGTTAATATGATATGTAATAATAATAACGATAATGATGATAATTAAATATCATATATAAGTGACATACATTTTGTAAGATATGGAATGTTGCGATACCTTAAGGTCAAATTGTGATCCTTTTATCATCAATACTTCCTGATCGGATGCGTCGCGAATATAAAACTTCCGTTGCCAAAAACCCCACTCTTGAGTAACGCTGCCCAGTAAAGTACTTCCGGAATACATTTGTAAAACCTGCGAACAATAAAACTTCAGTCATCTGCTAATCAAATCTGGTTATAATTAAACTTAAAAAATAAAATTTATCGACTATCTAAGGCCGAGCTGTTACCTGAAAGCAAATAAGAGCAACATGTAATTGCTAAGTAATTTTATTCGAATTCATCTCACACCTACCTTTAATTTTATTAAAATTCTAACATTAAATAGGACTGTGGAATAAATCGTTACGTACGTATATGAGAACAAATCTTATGCCGGGTATAGACTTGTATCAGATCACCATATCGTATCATGATATTTTCTTATAAAATACGGATATGTTGATTATAATGATATATATGCCCAGGCCTTGTTTTCAATCTGTAAGATATGGGATACGAATACGAATTGAAAACAAAGCCTTGGCGTATCATTATATAATTAATATATCCGTATGTTGGTATTTTGATAAGAAAATATCATGATACGATACGGTGACCTGATACAAGTCTGGACCCGGCCTAACATTTGTTCACATATACGTACGTAAGGATTTATTCCACAGTTCTATTTAATGTTAAAATTTTTATATAATTAAAGGTATGTGTGAAACAAGCTTGAATAAAATTATTTAGCAATTACATGTTTAATTTTTATTGCGTTTAAAAGTTAATACTTTTTTAAAAGTTAATTGTCATGAACAACTTATTGATTTTTCTATTTAAGAATGAAATTTAAAATTAAATTCCTCGAAGAATACAACGATGGAAGATATCTCTTTGCTAGTTTTTAATATGTTTCACATAGCATAGCCATAACAAATACACTAAATAAATTTTAATGACAAAAACTACCGGCAGAGAACAGCATGTCATGAAGGGTTGAACCAAACGAAGAGTCTCTTGTTGATTTCTGTCATAAGTGATGTATTCGTGAAATGAATTATACTTTCGCAGGCAGGTTCCCCAGTAGGTTCGCAATTCCTGCTCTATGTAAAACACCCTCTCGCCGTTATTATCCGTAATACCATACTTGTTCCTTCTAGTTTGCCATCCTAAAAAAAAGATAACGTAGTGTTAAAGCACATACAAAATTTATAATAGTACTTAACAGTAACGCAATATGTAATGTAATATAGTAAATAAATAAGAATAAGTTTAGATATATAAAATTATATCGTATTCATTAAAGTGATAAGAAAGTTATTAAGTATATATGCACTGTGCAATTATCAAATCGTAATTCTTTGTATATTTGTCATAATATAAAATAGAAAATGCGATTATATGTATAATAAAATTATAATTTTATATTAAATATAATAATCTTGTAATTATACGGTTATATACGAAATTATGCGTTTATCATAATACAAATAATGAGACTATTGCGCGGAGTAAATGTTGGTTTCGTGATTACTCCAGGGAGTAATCGTAATAAATCAATACACTCGAGCTTTGTGGATCTGGAATTACATATATTCACGTGCGGTCTTAAGAGAAGAGCAGTGTTATATTTTTATATCTCTTGGCAAAGTCGAGTGCTCACCGTCAACCTCCATATTTTTTTGGTTTACGAGAAGACAATCAAGGCTCAGAAGATATTCCAAGCCAGGTGGACATGTTATACTCGGTGGCGAGGAGTCATCTGAAAGCAGATAAGAGCAATATTCGATAAACAATGTTAATTCAACGTGTTTTATTGTTTATGTAACTATATATATAGTATAAATTCATTAAACTCTATATATCTACAAGCGGAATGTAAATATTTATATAATCTTGATAAAAAGAATAATCGATTAAAAAGGAAAATTGATATAAATTTACAAACTCGTTAAATTATATATTGACCGTATCATTTTCGATTATTCTTTTTATTAAACTGAGAACGCTTCTGATTAAATAGCACATTATATTCAAAATAGATTTACTTGCCTAACTCTCTTACACACAAATTGTGAAAACGCAATCGTCAGCGGCAGCCGCGACTCGCATCAAGATCGAGATCAAGTTTCGAGACAAGCAATCAGCATCGCGGAAAACAGAACAATGGACTTTCCATGCCTTTTTAAGACCACTATTTCTAATGTCTGTTAAATTTTAATCGACCGTTAACTTTCATAATAACCAACTACTATTGGCTATTCTAAAAAGTTAACGGTCGGTTAGAAGTTAACAGACGTTAGAAATAGTGGCCTTTAGAAAAGGATTAATATCCTAACAGTGCACCACATAGAAGAAAATATTAGGTATTATATAAATGAGGCATATAATATATTTTATAGTTTCATAAATCCATATCGATTTTTTTTTGAATACGTAATATAAATCCCACTTGTAAATTCGAATAATAAAATCAAGCCTAATTATTGATTAAACGATTAAAGCAACGTATTATACAGATATACAAAGCTTCGTTAAGGATATTCCATTAAGAAAAATTCATTTTTTTAAATCGTGACTTTTTACGTTATTCTGTTACCATATTACCATGTTATGTTAATGGTAAATTTATTATTAATTAAAAGAATATTAACGATAAAAGGTGGTCGTGAAAAAAACCATTTAAGAAATAGACATAAACGTAATGAATTTCAACGTGATTATTAAATATGTAAAAAGCATATTTATTATTAATATATTATTAACATATAAAAAGCACATTAATTATTAATATAATTAGTATAGATATACTTATGCTAAAGATTATATTTTAATATTTAAAAACATGTATACAAAGATTTATAATAAACATTTTATTAAAGAGGCACCTATGTCGTGCGCAAAAAATTTCCTATTTTCGGGAACTTTTTTCTTAGTAAATACATAGTATTCGATACGGTTTTTTAATTTTATTCGTTATATATTTGAGTGTATGTCTATAAAACAATTGTTTTTTTTATATAAAAAATGGTAACTAAGAAGTTGCGTACACCAGTACATGGTTCCAGTGTCTGCATGATTTTGCACTGTAGGTCAATTTGATATAAAAAACAACCATATTTTATTGTAAAGAAATATTGTAGTTGCGAACTGTCGGAGAGATTTTTTAATTTATAAAAATTCACGAAATTAAAACTTGAAAAAAAAGTTAGAATTTTGCCTTAAAACTTATCTACTATCTTTGTTATAAAAAAAGAACAAAATAGAAAATCGGAAAGTCCCCGACAGTTCTATAACATTTCTTTATAAGAAAATATTGTTTTTCAAATCAAACTTCGTGCATGCAACTTGCTATAAAAGTTAGTTTTTTATATAAAAAATTAATTTTTGTTATAGACATACGCACCCGGCATCAATTACTGTTATTTATTGAGAAAAAAATCCTGAAAATAGGCCATTTTTGTGCGCGACAAAGGTATTCGCCCCTTTAAATAAACATTTTTTACTGTATATAAATACGCAATATTCTTATTGCGTGGGTATTCTCTAAATCTGAATCAGAATAGTACTGTGAATCAGTGAATATAGTCACTGATTCAGATTTAGAGAGTAACAAAATATTGTATGAAGCTTGAGATTACAATGATTAAAAAATTATATATTGTCGTACACAATTTAAATATTTGTTTCTTATACCATTAATATACATAAATTTTTATATCACATACAGAATAGTGGTACAAAGATAATACTTTGTAATTAACGCAATTTCGAAATTATTTACACAATTTATATCAGCAAACGAAGAGTCCAGTCTTGATGCTGATCGAATAACAATTAACAATTGTCTCTCATTGTATGTACGTGTGTGTATATGAAGGGAATCATTTATATTATTTATTGTTACATTATATGATATTTGGGAGACGATTTAGTAAGATAAATAGATTGCAAAGCAATGAGTAATACTTTAGATGGACAGACAATTGCATTGTGTTAATAATAAAATAGAGAGCTCTTTGAGATTGAACTCTGCAATGGACACGAGAGATCGATCTCCGTGTATGTAAGCACAATTGTAAGTATACTTGAATAGTTTAGTTAATTATAGTTTAGTTAATTATAAAAATAATAAAGCTTATTCGTAAAACGATTAAAAAATCGTCTTATATATAATTGTTAGTTATAATTTCACAGTTTATGATTAATAAGATTCCTGAGTATGTGTATACGGCGGTCGCTTTCATTTACATTGCATTCCATAGTTAAAAAGTGATTTCGCGAAGGGGTTAAGCGAGGACGATCCATCTAATCGGCGAGCGTCGATCATCGGGGAAATTGATCGATCATTGCGACGTGAGAGACTAAAGACCGCGCGCGGAAAAAGGAACTCTCGTTCGGTGGAGATCATGGTGTGACTCGTGTGCGATAGAGAGAATCCCTCGAGAAGATCGGCGAAGTTGTCCGGTGGTTGTGTGATTCCGGTGTTCTATTCCATAGTTAATACATAACGAAATATCTTTGGAGATATAAAAAGCTGATATGAACGAATCGCTTTTGTCTTCTTTTAAAAATTGGAACACACTGACTTAGGTTTCCTGTTCGAAATACATGAAGTCCTAAAACATTAAAAGATATAAGTCAATATATTGCACATTAAAAATCAAACTATATTTATACTAATATTTATTAGAAATTTCTCTTCGTAATTTCTTAACTTTAATTTCTTAATTAAAACCAATTAAAATTAATCGACTATGCTAATATTAATATTAAAAATAAAATATTCTATTTTTGTAGCAATATTTCTTTTAATTCCTTTGTTCTTTGTATCTCTTTTCTTAAATAAGGGATTGTTTATAATATTTTCATGATACCCACTATTAGAACAGCCGCTCCTAGCAGTACGGCCTTTATCTTGACGTCGAGATCGCGCGGAAAGTTAATTCCGAATGTATCCGAAACGGTGAACATCTCTCGAGCAAAGCCACTCCAACGCTTTCGAATCATGCCGATGCGATGCTTCTCATCCAGAGATTTGACCTGCGGATTTGATTGGCGAGCAATGTTAAAAATCCTAACGCTTTTTATGCAACAAAATCGCAATTCAATCGCCAAGTTTGTAATATCATATTATTCATCATCATTTATTCTTAAGTTTTGTATCTTACTTTTAAAAATCTTCCGAAAACTCGAAATTAATGTTAAGGAAAACAATTCAAAAAATGTTAATATGATATGTAATAATAATGATGATGATGACGATAATTAAATATCATCATAAGTGGCATAAATTTTGTAAGATATAGAATGTTGTAATACCTTGAAAATTACGTCAACACAGAAACGAATGAGTGGCCCTTTTATCATCAACACTGCCTGGCCAGATGCGTCGCGAACATAAAACTTTGGTCGCCAAAGACTCCACTCTTGAGTAATGCTGCCCAATAGAGTAGTTCCGGAATACACTTCTAAAACCTATGAAAAAAAAACTTCAGTCATCTGCTAATCAAATCTAGTTATAATTAAATTAAAAAAAAAATGTATCAATAATCTAAGATTTGTTCTCATACACGTACGTAAGAATTTATTTCACAGTCCTATTTAATGTCGGAATTTTAATAAAATTAAAGTTACGTGTGAGACGAATTCGATTCCAATTATTTAGAAATTAAATGTTTAATTTTTATTAGACATATACCATAAATAAACAAATAAATACATTATTTCTCTAAATAAACGCTAAATAAAAAATCGATATTAGCATTTCAACGAAGCGGGCAAAGTTTCGTCGAAAAGTAAACTTGACAGATGGCTTGCACGTGTGAAGAAACTTTGGTAGACACGATACAAGACAGCAGTTCTCATCTCGCTTAGATTCTAGATCTCGTTTTTAAACTTGTTGTTATTTCCAATATCATCTTTCTTATTCTTGTAATTTAATATAAAATTGTGATTTAAAATAAATTTAAAAAGAGATTATCTATAAATTTTAAGTTTTATTGTTAGGATATTTAATAACAAATTCATTGTTATGAATAATAATAACTCAGTCAAAAGAGAAAAATTTACTTTAAATTATTATTTTTATAAATTTTCTTACTTCAGAATTTTAAATTTATTTAGAATTTATAATCATAAATTTAAATATTAAATTGCTCTAATTCATAATTTTTATTTTTAATTTATTCTAATATTTACTAAATACATTAAATATTCTAAAATTTTTAAAAGTTAATTGTCATGGACAATAATGACAAATGAACTTATTGATCTGTCTATTTAAAAAAGAAATTCAAAAATAAATTCCTCGAAGAATAGGAATGATATTCCATATAGAGATAACGCGGATATCAAATACACTGAATAAACTCTAATGACAAAACTACCTGCAGATAGCAAGGACAACAGCAGCCGTCGCATCTGAAGGGTCGAACCATGCGAAGAATCTCTCGATGATTTTTGTCGTAAATGTTGAATTCGCATGAACGATACTTTCCCAAGCACAATCGCCAACAGATTCCCGACTCCTCGGCCATGTAAAACACCGGCTCGCCCTTATTATCCGTAATAACATACTTGTTTTTAGTTTCCCATCCAGTAAAAGCTAAAAAGAAAATACTGTAGTATTAAAGCAAAATGTATATACATATGTATAATAGTGTTTAATACAGTAAAGTAATATGTAATGTAATATAATAAATAAATAAAAATAAGATTGGATATATATATAAGATTATATCGTATTCAAAAAGTTATTAGGTATCCACTGCGCAATTATCAAATCGTAATTCTGTGAATATTTATCGTGATATAAAATAGAAAATGCGATTATATATCATGAGATTATAATTTCATATTAATTATAATAATCTTGTAATTATACGGTTACGTAGAAAATTATGCGTTTATCATAATACAAATATATGAGGAGGCTATCGCGAAGAGTAAACGTAGCTCCGCTAACTCAGGGAGTAATCGTAAATCACACGCTCGAGCTTCGCGGATCTGGAATACATATATTCGCGCGCGGTCTCAAGAGAAGAGCAGTGTTATATTTATATCTCTCGACACAAAGTCGGGTGCTCACCTTGAAGCAACTCAATTTTCTGGTTCACGAAAAGATAATCAAGGCCCATAAGGTATTCCAAGCCGGGTGGATATGTCATACTCTGCGGCGACCAGCCACCTGAAAGCAGAAAAGAGCAATATTCGATAAGCGATGTTAATTCGACGCGCTATTTATTGCTCATGTAAATGATAGTATACATTCTTTAAAATCTATACATATATATAGCGGAATGTAAACGTTTATATGATCCTGATAAAAAGAATGATCGATTAAGAAAGAAAAATTGATATAAGTTTACAAAATCGTTAAGTACATTGGCCCCTTTCATTTACGATTATTCCTTTTATTAAATTAATATCCTAACAGCGCGTCACAAAAAATAAGATATTATATAAATGACGCATATATTTTATAGTTTTATAAATCTATATCGATTTTTTTTTAACCACATAATATAAATTCCACTTTTAAATTCAAATAATAAAATAAATCCTTATTGATTGAAGCAACGATGCAGATATGATACACAGATGATATGCACAATGCTTCGTAACAACGACTATCACGAAATACATGTTCGCGGAAAGTATTCTGTACCTCTGTTCCTCCTCTGTCAGAAATCTGATGTACCCTTTCCTCTTGGACTTGTAATAACGCGCCAACGTACTTTGGAAGAGTGTTCTCAGCCGTCTACGTATCTGGTCCAGCTTGACTGTCCACGAAGTTTCAAAGTACTCTGATTCCGTTGCACGCGTAGAACGCCGCATGTTTCGATATTATTCGTAGATCGCGCTTTTATAAAGCGACACACGTTCGTGTCAACGTCTGGGACTGAAATTAAAGTGCCTTTATCGCTGTAACTCCACTATCGCGTACTCCACAATTATCATCACAATCTTATAGGGATATTTACAGACATTATGCAATCAAAGATTAAAGGCAGATAATTATCTGAACTGAGAGAATGCTCAAAATTCACTGTTCCAATCCAAATAGCTTCAGAAACTTTTCCTTGAAGTTCTTGCCACTTTCCAAATTTCTGCTTAAAACTTTCGTCGCTGTTCCGAGGATCCTAAAATTCTAAATTCATCCTCGAACTCGGCTCTTTTCGAAATCTTATCACTCTCATCCATCATTTATCACGATTGTTAATCTCACGAAAATTACTGCTGCGTCGATCCGAGACGTTTGCCAGCAGCGTTCGCGAGTTGTCGCAATTGCTTTGCTAACGTTCTCCACCCTCCTCGAGACGAGGGAGATAAAACTTTTTCCGCGAATATCCTCGTTTCTCCCGGCTCGGATTTTTCTCCCTTTTTTTCATTTATCGCTTAAGAGATAAATATGAAAAACAATGCGATATATCAAAGCTATGTCGCATCTAGTGGTATATACATACTTGTTTTTCACGTCGAGGAAATTAATATTGCGAAAAATTCACAATCTAATGTTAATATTTTCTCAATTAAGAGAATTCCAAGAGATATTCATCAAAAAGGGCGGAAATTATTCAAGTCGAGAATTTGTTCACCATTGTTCACCAAACTTGTCCACCAAAAGAATTTTAACAATTCGATCTGTTGACCATTTCTGTGAATTCAGTATATCTCACTTCCTGTTTCTTTTACATGCCTCTTCAAAAATTCCTTTTTTTAATCTTCTGTTTTTTATTTATACACTTTATTTATACAATTCTGAATCCGATTTCAATCCTCCTTCTTCTCCTTTCTCCTTTTTTCTTCCATTTTTCCACTTTTTTCCCCTTTTCGTCTTATCACTACTAACCAGGTAAAAGGCAAACAATACACTGATAGACTCGAGTGATCGCACTGTGGCTGTCCGTGCTTATCAGAACATTTCACGAGTCAAATACACGGCAGAATAATCTTTTTATCTCGGAGAGCAACAACACGCCGAATGGAAACACGATGTTGCCGATCGCGACGACCGAAAAGTCCGTCGTCATCGTACAAACACGAATGATAACATTGTATACGACTGTCTGGATGACGATGATACGTGACAACCACCGTGGACGGTCATTATCTACTTTATACTAATCGTCGCTCCCGGTGAGCAACTATCCATGGGACATATACCGTCCGTGAATCGTCCTTCTGCATAGATTGCACACAATCGAGACACGATAGGATACACAGAGCTCGAATTTCTCGTGGTGAGCCGCAATTACGCGCGATAGGGGCAATATTTGGATTATGATCGTTGGATGTGGAGGGTCACGAATGTCCTCCGACCGTGCCTATCGCAATTAAGCGGCACGATCATGGAACAGACGTGTTCCGTGCTAATAGCGTCTTTAGGTCAACGTTATACGATCAATTAGAAATAATAATTACAATTTAATTCTAATTATATTCGAAACCTCTTCTCTCTCCAGTTTAATAATTATATATTCAATATCTTTATAATTTGGAATATTTTGTAATTATGTACAAATTGTATACATGAATACACATATGAAGATAGAGATATTAAGGGGTAAAGCCATTCTAGAATTTTCAAAAAATCGATTTTTTTTTATTAAACGATGCTTTAAGGTCTTAGAAATAAGGTACACTTGGTTTCAAAGCTCGGAAAAATCTCTATTATCCCTTTTTCGTAATCCGTCTGCCGCCGCGTTCACATCTGTGAATGGTGAAACTGAAACTTTAAACGCGTTTTTCTCGAAATTGCTTTTTTAAAGTCGGGCGGAATCAGAACTCGAACACCTTTTATCCGATTGACTTGAAATTTTGAGTGAAACTTTACAATAACATTATCTTTAGAAGTACCTAGGGATTTTGCGATAAGTTGAACAAAACTTTTTTTATAAACAATTTTGTGCGACATTTTTTAGCGAAAAATGAAGCATTTTTTTCCAACATGCACCATTCTTACAAAAAATATTTCGCAATTCCCCTAGGTACTTCTATAGAAAAACTTATATATTTTTCAAAAATCTTTGAATTTTTGTTCCAGCTCAGAAATTATAGAAGCTTCGATTCCGCCCGTTAGACGCCTTCAGCAAAAAGGCACTTTGGAGCAATGGCTCTGGTGCCGCCATTTTGGCAATAAATAATTAATAAAAAATTTTTTTTATACTTTAATATATAGATAATAAATAGAATTAAACCGATTTTCATTTATGATTATTGTATTTCTGAAAAAAATTATCAAAAATTAGCTTTTTTTGGGGACTCTAGAGTGGCGTTACCCCTTAATTTTATATAATATCAAATTGATAAAGTGAAGATGTGTTAAATATATAAATTAATAGAGAATTCAAATAGCTCGTTATAAGTTAAGCTCTGTAAGAAGATTAAAATACGAGCAAAATAAGGATGTTGGTTTAAAACAAAAACTAGTTTATTTACAATGGTATATTAAAAACAAGTACAGTTCAATTGTTTTTAATATACTGTTGTAAGTAAACTAGTTCTTATTTTAAACCAACATACTTGTTTTGCTCGTATTTTAGCCGTTGATCTTCTTACATACGAGAAAGAGAAAGGAGAGAAGGAGGAGACAGATTTAAATATAATTAGAATTAAATTATATCTCTTAAACACGACATAAGACATAAGATATAGAGCAATTTTTGTATTAAATGCATACATATTGAGAGACACGAACACTAATCTTATTGTACGAATAGCATCTGTTTAAAATAATATTCTCTCTATTCGTGCAAAAAACATCGTGAATGAATTAGACAGATGTGGGTTCAACAGCTGGCGATAATAAAACTGCCTCGCAATTTCGCGCTTCGTAGCGACAAAACGTAGTTCGAAGGAGCAAGCAAAAATGCTCATATACAATGGAAAACTTACGAGTTAGATTTAACGTTATCTTCTCTGTTTCTTATAATAGCAGAGAAATTGCTCGACGATGACGCAAACTTAGATCAGCGCCAATTGCCATGGATAACTAATGTGCCTCGATATTATTTTCCTCTAACGTGACTTTATCTATGCTAGCTGATTTTAGCGGATCTAAAAGAGGCGCCGGGAAATGCTAATCCCGCTAACAATAAGTGAACCTCGTGAACGCAGCTGCCCCCGAAGAATTGCCGGGTCAACTAAATTTTCTTCCTCTTCATCTAGATTCGAGGCGACGAGAAAAGAGCAGAGAAACGCGGTAATCAGGCCGAATTAACCGCCGCCGCCGTGGTTGACCCTAAATATTAGCGAGAGTTAAGTGGATTTTTATTCTGTCGCTTACGCTTTAGTTACGACGAAGAATCTAATTTAGCCGGGAATCTAATTAAAGTTAAAACACGTGTACAGGAGAGAACTCCGTTGTTACAAAAAAAAAAAAAGCAGCGAAACCGGAAGATAATACGAAACGCATTTATTTATTTTAAAGTATTTTTTAAACTGTTTGTATTCACCCTTCCCGAAATAAAGATTTCGCAGCAATATCGCTTCCAAAATTTCGATTGGATCCTTATAGATCTACGGGCGCTATTGACTCCGAAAAAACTCGTATAAGTCGTCGCAAGCGTTATGTGTTTCGTGCGATTTAGGGCCTCACACGTCAGATCTGCAGATGCGACGTGTCGGTTTTCTCGAATCTCGAAGAATAACGTCTGTTTTTTTACCTGGCGACAATACCGGCATCGGCACATTTGGTTGCGGCGGCGGAGCTGTTGCGATCGGTGGCTGCATTTCCTCCACCCCCGACAGCGGGGGATACGGTGCGTCGTACTTTTGGCTGCTCATTCTTCTACTTCCGGCTTACTTCTCGTCCCTCCTGTGAACAAAGCAAACGAAACCGACAGGGTCAACCGGCGGGTTTTCAATGGATTGCGCAAGATTTTTTAGAAAGTCGAGAAAAAAAGGAAGAAAAATGAAGCCTGAATGAATGAAAATGAACGAAATGAGCGAAAGACGGCCGTGTTGTAATAATAAAAATGTATAAAGAACATAAAAGATATTAACAAAATAAATAATAGTAAACAATTCGATTTTTAATTTAGATCCTTCTCAGCTTAAGGAATATAGAATAAAAATGTAGCTATACTAATAATATAATAAATTAATGCATATTAGCTAAATTTCTTAATTGATATGTTACGTTAACTTATGATAAATAAGAGACAAAAATCCTGTGTCTGATCGTAGATGTTAAAATTTAGAAAATTTATGTCAAAATTTGAGATTAATTTTGCAATTACGATTTATTTACCGTAAACATTTGAAAAATTAATTTTTGTACTACATAAATAAGAATAATATTGAAAGAAACATGCGTTTGCGTCTCTCCTACCGACGGAGAAAAATCCGAGGAGGAGGTGTTAGTTCTGAAACGAGTCGACCGATGACGGAAGCTGGCTCTGGCTGGCTCGCTCGCGTGCTATGATACCAGGCTCGCGTATGATACTGTTTATGTTGAAATTGTTGGGTCATCGTCCCCGCGTATCGCCGCTCGCGTATCGGTATTCGCGTCGTAAAGGTCATTGTAACGCGTATGTACGCATGTAATTCGCGTGCATGTGCACAGTGAGAAACAAAGAAGACCTAGCGTCGCCGATAACACTTTCTTTTCAGTGATAACTATCCTTTGTTCCGCGATCTGGCCCGCCTAAATCAATAGCAGCACAGTTGTTAAGTAGGAAACGACATTTGGAAATTTCCTTAATTTCCATGGAAACGTAAAGTTTCCTTATCGGGAACATGAGACCTTCTTATTTATGGTTCGGCGAAAGAGAAATTCTCTTCTACCTTCCGTCCTTCTTGATCCGGGATTTTTATCACGCATGTTTCGGAGAATTATCGACACACGAAATTTTCGGAACTATCCGCGTAACTACGTTTTTTATTTCAACAAATTATAAAATGAGATTTGTCGTAAAATGTTGCAAGCTTATTTTAGATTTTATATCTATCCCGAATTTTTATAGAAAGTAAAATTCTTATAATAAATTATGCGCAAAACGTTAGAACATAGAATTAAAAGTATTGAAAGTTAAAACTCATAAATTAGAATTTACTTTATTGCATCTTAATCGCACCTTTTTCGTATTCGTAGATTCTTATTAGTCATGAGTTTTCATTTAAATATTGTTTTTAACCCGTTGAGGTCATACCTCCTAAAAGTAACGTAGAGGTCACATGGGGTCCAATGGACCCCACAACAGTTTCCATTTGCGTTCTTTTTGATGTATCGACTCAAACCTTGAACTGGAATTAATTTATGACTTTCTCTTGATAATCCAATAATTTAAAAAATTTTTGTATGTTGAAAAAACGCGAGAAAAAAATTTTTTTTTCGAGATATTTGATTTTTTTCACAAAAATATTCATCAAAATTTTTTAAGATAGAGCAAAAAAACTTTGTGCGTTTTACTCTCAAAATAGTATATTTTTAAGAGAGGAAAAAAAAACCTGGGGTCCACTGGACTCCATGTGACCTCAACGGGTTAAAATTGTTATGTTACATTGTTATGTTATGTTATTGAGTTATGTTACAACAAATTAATTTATTCTAACGAAATTGCCGTTGGATTTATGACACTTAAATTATCAAATTATCGTTAAGACGCAGTAATCAGCACTTTCGTCATCAGCTCGGTCATCAGCTACTGCTGATTACGAAATTACGAAGAATTATTTTGTAACTTCAATATCAATTGCTCATCATCTATCGTTCGAAATATTCGTTTGAGGTCAGCTTTATTCACTGCAACAATAAATGTAAAAATAATTTAGTAATAATATTGTATATTATTGTGCATACTATGCATATACTACATAGATATACTATAGTATACATACTATAATAATGCACTAAAATTAAAACTTGTAAAATTGTATTAAAATTATTCCAATTATATAGTATGTACTGTGTATACTATACATGCTATACAGACTATACAGTTATTATATTGGAATAATTGTAATAAAATTTATACGAGCTTTAATTTTAATGTATTACGCGTATTATCTCAAACGAATATTTCGAACGATAGATGATGCAATTGATATTGACAAATATGTTACAGAATGCTGCGTAATTCCGTAATCAGCAGTAGCTGATAGTGATCACCGCGCCCGTCCTTAAAACGATAATTTGATAATTTAAGCGTAATATATATTATACGTACTAACAGCAAAATATATGTATAAGTATAAAAATTATTCATTCAATCAATTATTTTTCTCTCTCTCATTGTGTCAGATATGCTGAAATTAAAATTTGCAAATAAATGAAATAGAATATTTTGCGATGAGCAAGTGAGGTGAAAAATTCGAGTTCCACAAAGGTGTCCCTTTGTCTCTCTCTTTTTTTATTTTATTTTTTTTTTTATTTTAGACGCTATTTTTGCGCCGGAATTATAACGGAATTCCATTG